GCGAGGAGGGGGGGCGCGGGAGAAGGTCAGCATGCGCCAGTATCACAAGGCGTAGATCACTCTTACCCTTTCTCCCTAACCCTGTACCATTGGTCATAAACATTCGGTAACATCCCATTCTTTCTTGATCATCATTCGGAGATCTGTTTCCTTTTTCTTACCACGCCCCACCCTGACTTCCTGCAACATGACAATAGATGGATGATACTTCTCAATCAAATATGCCAGGATGTGTTTCAGCACGAATTGACTGCATCCATTGACATTTTGAGAGATGATGTTGCCTGGCGCGTTGTCCTTCTTGTGGGTTTCCACCCATGCTGAGTGCACTGACCTATCGGTGGTAGCCTCGTGTGCGTTGCTGCTTGCTGTTAGGATTTGCTCCTCCGCCTCCGATGCCCATTGAAGGTGGGACGCGTACCTCTCTTGCATCTTCGTTGGGGCTGATGGCTCCTCCTCCCCCCTAGTCTCCTTGTCGTGCTTCGAGTTTGTCTCTGCGTGCATGTCTGGTGGGGGGGAAGGTGGCTGGAGTGGAGAGACGGGGCATGGGGCGGGAGGTGGTGGAGGGGGGTATGGCAGGATGTCCCCCTGTGCTGACCTGTCTGGTATTTGCAGGGCCGCTCCGTCTTTCCATCTCTCCTCTAGCCATGCATCTTCGGCTACCTGGGTCATCTGAAGCTCGCCTGCGCGTTTTTGGCCATTCTCTCGCCTTTCCATCTGGTTAGGTCTACGTTCCATGGTGAGCTTTGCTGCTTGCCATTCCTTGTAGCCTGTTTCTTGCGCGTGTTGTAACGCTCTGCAGATGCATTGGATCGTTTCTCGCATGTGAACTTGTTCTAGACCCCCTCCCCAGAGCCCATCCAGCAGCAGGTGCCTTGTTCTCACGAGCCATTGTTGGTGTGGCGGGACGCCTTGTTGCCTACCTATGTTGAAGATATCGTGTTGTTGCGTCTGCTTTCGTGTCTTTGCGATCAGTAGCAGATGCAGTAGTACAAAAATTCCGCAGTTGTAGCCGTCCGTTTGTTGCAGTCCCGTTGACACACATGCCCTCCATGCCTTGT